TATAATATAATAATATAATATTATTTGAGTTGTTACTAATTGTCGAAAAAAATAATAATATTGATTTGTTTTAATAATATTTAAATAACCGATTTCAACAAATAGTTGACCTACCAAATGGGTTTTTTATTTATTTTATAGAAGCTACAAACATTTAATTTTATAAATAACCTAAACTTATCAAGTCAATAATTACATTTTATTTATTTAAAAAAAATGCATTTGTTAAGATAAAGTTGCACGTTACTTGATTAAAATTAATACTGTAAGATTAAGTTCCAACACTTCCGACTATATTAACACTTAACGACTTAACAGACTTAGGACTGCCTATAATCTATTTTGACCACAGCTATGGTTAAAAATGTTTTTTACATTTTTTTATTTTTGTTTCTTTTCCATTAAAATATAAGTTATTAGAATTTTATGAAAAATAAATCACTTTTGAGTTGGTAAAAATATAAAAAAATGTTAAAAACCAAGTATATAAATACATATTATGTAATATAAAATATATAGCCATATAGGTGTAAGTGAAAAAATATTAAAAATGTTAAAATAATTATATGATATAAATACAAATAAAATAATATTTTTTGAAAAATCACATGTGTTGGTAAAAATGTATACGACATTAATTTAAAAAAATCAAATTGATTGATTATTCCTGCAATTTTTTTTATTCATATTGTCATCTATAAACTTTGTAAAAGTAATGTCGTATATATTTTTTACCAACACACAAGTGATTTTTAAAAAAATATTATTTTATTTGTATTTATAACATATAATTATTTTAACATTTTTCAGAAGTTAGAAGCCATAGAAATGTGGATATGGAGAAGACTGTTAAAAATCAGCTGGACAGAAAGGAAAAGTAACGTAGATGTATTAAACCAAGTAGGAGAAAAAAGAATCTTATTAAACACCATAAAAGAAAGAAGTGGAAAAATGTTCGGTCATCTACTTAGACATAATTTGTTTATGACAAATATATTTGAGGGACGAATAAATGGTTACAAAGSAAGAGGCAGACCGAGGAAAGCATACATAGAAGAAATGATAAAACAAGCTGGCTGAAGTCGATATATAGAAATGAAAATTGTCTTTTAATAGAGAAGAATGGAAAGTCAGATTTGCAACGACAAGGCAAGGCTTTTAGTAGAGAAGAGAAGAAGAATATTTTTTCACTTACACCTATATGGCATGATAGCTATATTTATATTATATAATATATATTTTTATACTTGGCTTTTAACATTTTTTATATTTTTACCAACACAAAAGTGATTTATTTTTTATACAATTCTAATAACTTATATTTTAATCGAAAAGAAAAAAAAAAACTGTAAAAAACATTTTTAACCATACCTGTGGTCAAAATAGATTATAGACAGTCTTAAGTCTGTTAAAATGGGAAGGAAAATGTTAGTATAGTGTAGTACTTACCAAAAAATATACAAGAACTAATATTGTAGCTAAAATAATTCAGGACCCAACTAGTAAAGTAAGAGTAACCATAAAAATAAGGGACCGAACTAGTGTAGTACCTGTAAAAATCCGGGACCCAACTAGTGTATTACCTGCGATTAGCCCCTAGTACTTGGGACCCAACTCGGATGCGCCGGATTTCCTGTTTAAGGTTAAAATTAAGCAGAAATCTTTAAAATTCATAATAGGTATGATTAACAATAATTGATTAATAATTGGGTTAGAAGTTACAATATTTTGTTTATACTAAGTGTTAAAATATTAGTCATGTAATTTTATATAAAAGTGGTTTACAGTAAATTTTTTTACATGTAACAATAATGCTTATAAAAAATAATTACAATATATATATATATATATAAATACATTCTTTTTTTCTTTTTTCTTTTTTTTACATAATCATATGCTCGTCCTTATAACCTATTGGATTTGGTATTAATTTCTAATTTGGAACATTGTCTATTTTCTAAGCATAAGTTGTTTTACCTTTTTATTCGTAACCTTTCTTTTTGACACGGTTCGCAATATTTTTATATACTCAATAACATCTTCCTTTAAACCCTTTTAAACCCTTCCAGTTAAATTGTGTTTTAATTTTCTTTATTGTTCTATGTATTCTCGCATGTTCGCCGATTCTAGAATCGTGACATTGTTTAAAAATTATTAATTTCTCTTCGTCGCTGAATTCTAATTTCGAACAAATAATTATGGTTTTATCCGTGTTTCGAAACACGTGTCGAATCATAGCCCGTATTTGTGACCATTCGAGTTTATCGTTAAATCCTAACTTATTTATCTAATGAGTGTTTATTGCATAATAATTTTAAATTTAATAATGATAAATAAATGTTTTCGTATGTAGCTTTTTGCTTATTTTTGTTTTTCGTTGTTAAAAATATTATGAACCTATTGTTATTTACAAAGTAATTTACGTCACCTACGGATTTACTAGGTGTTAATGTTTTATTGTCTCCGTATTCCTGTTTCAGTTCGTAATTTATTCCTGACATGAAGTTATAATGCCGTGATATTTCCGACACTATATGATATTCAGCAGGTGATTCTATTAGATTACCATTTACTTCCTGTATGTTTTTATTTGTTATAAGCTGTGTCTCGAATTTGTTTAAAAATACTGGATAACTTTTGCTTTTTACTTCATCAATAGTATACATTCTCGAAAACGCATCCACGTTTRCATTTTGAACTCCGGGTTTATATTTAATATCGTAATCGTATTCTTCCAATAGWATTCGCCATCGTGCGAGTTTTGATAGTGGGTATTTTAAATTAAACAGCCATGAAAGTGCGCGATGATCGCTTAATATAATGAAATATGGTCTAAATTTTTTTACTGCAAATATAATAGCTATACATTCAAGTTAGGTTATGCTATAGGTAATTATGTTCACTTTTATTTAAAGTTTTAGATGCATATACAATAAAATCTTGTGGCACTTCCCCTGGTGATTATATTTGACCGTTACGGCCTTTGTATTACATAATTTTTGAAATATTTCTTCTACGCGGTTATTATATGAACAAATTGTTTCATTATTTTTTTCTTTTTTTTTATAATGTTTAATTCTATTTGTAAATTTGCAGCTCCTTATGGGGTTTCGAATGCATCTAGTAATAACTTTTTCATATATCCCCATTCCTTTATTTCTCGATACCTTGTTACGTTAAAAGCCCTATCAGTTAATTTGGTAGCCGCTATCATTTTTAACATAAAAGGATGTTGTTCCGCACCCACTGTATTTATTATTACCTCGCATGCACTGAAAAATGGGTATATCTCAGTTTGCCCTGAATAGGTGGAAATTAATTTAATTGCGTCGATGGCGCTTAAAGATTTTATAACTTCACTGCTTCCTGTCATTTTATTTTTTACTATTCTTTTTGTTGGTATATATTCAGTATAAATGGTATTTTTATTACTACGTAGACCTGTACGAGTTGTACTAGTAGCAAGACTATTTTCAAATGCTTCTATATTAATTAATCTTAAACTATTATTTAACAATTCGCTAGTTATTGGGTCGTTTTTTATTTCTTTATTATCGCCTTCACTAAATATTTCCGCGGCAATATCGTCTAAATTTTCTACTAAATCAGTTAATTCTAAATCATCAACTATTTCATTATTATTTTCATTTGCTACTACTTCTATGCTATTATCGTCTTCAATTATTTCAAATTGTTCTATCTAGCGTTTCCCTAGCTATTGCTTCGAATTCATCGGGATTCGTGCTAATTAATATCTATTTATTATTACTAAAAAAATTACTAATACCTATCTCATATACTTAATTATAATTATACTTATTTATTTGTTATTTGATTTATTACTTATCCTTATTTACCTAATAATATAATATCTACATCTATATATATAAAAATTTTATTTAATATAACCCCTTTATTTATCTGCTTCACTATAACTTTAATAAAATTTCAATATACTCTTCAATATAATTTTCATCTAAAACTCTCAATATAACTTCAAATAAACCTCAATATAATCTTTTTAATATAATCTCAATATAATCATCACTATAATCTCAATAAAACTTCAATATAATCATCAATATAATCTCATTTAATAATCTCAATAAAACTTCAATATAATGTAATTTAATAATCTCAATAAAACTTCAATATAATTCCCAAAAAATCTCATTTATAATCTCAAAAATAAAAAATAAATTCCTACCAACAATGGACCAATAGACCAAWGGAGACGGTTATAAAATTTATGCTTACAATACTGCTGTATTCATCCCGTAGCTTGATCTTCTCGCCGTTTGTCGAGTTTTAACAAAATGAGCTCRATTTCTCCAGAGTTGTTGGAAAGACGTCTTCTTCCAATAATGATYCACGTGAGTGAAGTTGCCTCTGTTGTCTGAAGTTGACGCAATCCAAAATATTTATGGAAAATATTTCAGCTGTTCTGTCTCGTTCTTGGAAATCAAACCCTGTCCACAGCGCCAATTTTCTGTTACGTCCCGACTGAACGTCGATTTATACATCAACGTAGAGATGAAATACTGATGTATTCAATGTAATAATGTCTTTATTTTCACAGTTTATTAAAACTTGATACAAAATTACAGTTWATATGCTATAAAGGTGTTGGTGAGCGGTGTTACGACCTTACTCTGTGTTTTAAATGACATTGAGTGGTTTTACGACCTGCCTCTAAGCGTCTTAAATGTCCCTAACCGTCTAGTTCAAATTTAAGAACCGTCTGGCTCACATTTTAAAAACCTTCTAACGAGCTCTTGTAATGGTCTCCCTTGTATAATGCTCGTGCCTGTAGGAGTAGGTGGTCGTACGTGGTGGTGAAATCTGGCACAAAGCAGAATTTGAGTCTCCTGGTGTAATTGGTTATTCTAGTCGATTCACATCCWTTCTTARTAACAGAGACTTTTTCCGAGAAGAGAYGTGTGACAATGCTTTTATAGTTTAATTATCTAGTCTGGTGTTCAATACGCTTTTTACAATGACCTCGGCATGCTAATTATATTAATTGCCTACTTAGTTATATCATCATTTAGTAGAAACGTACACTATGTTTTGTATATTAATAGGGTACGTAACAGTATGTTACTTTTAAATATAAAAATTAAATAAATACCTACTAAATTAAATTATACAATGAATTAKAAGTGTAACAATCAATAYAGTTTTGTAAAAAAAAAATTAAAATAGGTATAATAATGAATTTATTTACATTGTTAATACCATTACTTAAATTTAAAAGATTCATCCTACATCTGTATAACAAATATACAGTWATAATGTACTAATAAATAGTATTATAAGTTATAACTAAAAACAGAATAGTGAAATACAATATCGTATTTCTAGTTTGTACTAGGATAGTGAGGCTCAGATCTGATARCTGTTAAATTATTGAATTTATCATATAATATTTAATTTCATGTCCTTTTAGTTTTTACCAAGATAGGATGACGTATTCGTCAAGCACAATAAGCAGTTGCTGTTATACCATGTATTTAGCCATGCCCCAATAGTTCAGTGTGACGGGAATAGTAAAATGTATAATCTCAMTGTTGATATTCTATTAAATATAGAATATTAATTTTTTTAAATTATTATTTGAAATAAAATAATATTTTATGCTTAAAAAATATTTTGTATTTAGCTTTTTAGGAATAAATTGTCCGCTTACGGTGTTTTTTCCTTAGATCATGTACATTTATATGATCTAAGATTTTTTCGAGGGAACCAATTTGTCCTAGATCCACCTCACAATCACAAGTCATATATTTCCAATTAGCAATTCTCTCGATTTATTTTTAACCCAATAAAAATATACTA